CCCCCTGAAAATTTTAGGGGGGCCAAAAAGTAGCTCCCTTTGACCTAGGAATATCCCCCAAGTTTCAAATCTTTACCTCAATTAGGTAAAAAGTTAGAGGGGGTGGAAGGGACTTTTGGATCACCCTGATTTTTCATAAGGAATTGTTGAAACCCCGAAAGTAAAAGCTTATTCCACCCGTCGCTAGGAGGCCAGTGGAGGGTCTCTGGGAAGACAGCTTTGCGGGGTTTCTAAAATATAATGTCTCTGTGAACAAAATTCTTTTCCATTTGTCAAACTTGAAAACATCGCCGCGTAGCAGTGGCATGTTTTTTTCCTCTAAACGTCCTTTCAAATCAAACCGAACATTTCGTGAATAGAACTCAGCTCTAACCGATACGGTCACCAACTTGGTGCTCAAAATTCGAGTGTTTACGAGCAAAGAGTTCTGTTGTTCGGCTGTTGTCCACTCCGAGCTTGCCCAGTGCCGTTTTGTTTGTAAACACCGAGTTCGCGAAGAAAGAGGGGCAGAACGCGGGATAATAGGAGCTCCAAACGGCAGTGCATGCTGCAGTTCATACCGTTCATAAAGCCGACTGTGTTGTCAGATTGAAGTTTAATCGCGGGAGAACAGCTCCGAGCTCCGTGCAAAAAAGAGGGTCACTTTGGCTCCTTTCGGAATGGGCCATTAGACACCAGACATCGATAATGAAAATCGGGGACACGCGCATCCCGATCGCCGCGTTGCTAAATTAACGCTACAGCGTTAACTTTGTTGCCTCGGGGTTTTCGTTGAGATTTTTTCGTTTCACCATATCGTGGCCAAACTGCGGAATCACATATCTCCATTGCGAGGTTTCAAAATTTCGGCTCTTATTTTATTTTTTCGAAGACAAACGAGCGAGCCGACTTAATAGCTTGGTATTTTCACAGAATATTCTGTTATGACAGAGAAGAAGAATTAAGGAAGTTTTCAAGAAATTATTTAGACTAGTTTCCCATAAAAAGAAATTTAAATATAGCAGGAAGTCTGAGACGTCGCAAACCGAGATACGTGGTCTTGTAATTTGGCCATCGACATGTCGCAGGGTAATTGTTGCAGCAGTTATATTGCCTAAAAATCAGACATATAGTCAATACTGTCACCCCAGGTTGTTCTGAGATCTTTCTCAGTTTGGCAAGAAAATGTTCTAAATATGTTGACGAGAAATCTTATTTTGTTGACTTTTCTTATCAATCGGTCTGCACTATGCAGCAAGGAACTATTGTTTCTGACGCATTCACACATCCTCCATCTGCATCGGCAACTGATGACACTTCATATCAGGTTCTTTCCAATTTGAGCCAAAACTTGTACTTTCTTATTTCAAAATATTTTAATCAGAGTGGGTGCCTCCCGCAGTCAGACCACAACAAGTTTTTACCGAAAAAAAGTACTTGAAATATTTTACATCATCAACTTTCATTAAAATCGGTATTTTAGCCAATTCTTCCTTTCCAAATGCTGATTCAATATGCAAAAGTCTCCACATAAAACATTCAAAATTTATACATTTTCGCTTTATTATCTACCTAGGCATACGACAAAATGACTGCGTTGACTATTATCCTGCGACGCGACGGATCTAATCCAAGCATCGCAAGGGTATCTGAAGGAGCTGTGCTTTTTCTTCACTGGAAAAAAACACATTGGATCTAGAGTCCAGACTCATAAAAACATCGACAAGAAAAAATACTCTTGATTCAATCAGATTTAAGCTCAAATCAAGAACCAAGCCTCTTAAGTTGAGCGAATTTTCTTTTGATTTAAGTTTAAATCTAACTGAATCAAGAGTCCTTTTTCTCGTCAATGTTTTCAAGAGTCTGGACTCTAGATCCAATGTGTTTTTTTTTGTTTTCTT